CCCCCCTCCTCCTCCTCCTGATACTCCTGAAGAGCTCTCTGTCACCTTCTCTTATCCAGGACAGTGCAAACATTCGGAACTTCACACTACGTTCACATGTCTCTCCAAGAATTCATTCGTCCTGCACGGCAAAATGGCTTCAGAAATAATATACATTTGAAAAATATATATTCTGAAACCAGTGCACATGGCAATTTTGCTGTCAGGATGGGACATGCAGTAGCTGAAGTACTAAAGCATAACCTGCCTTTTCAATACCAAATGTGATGCTGTTGCTGCTGCCTGCACTAACCTGTCCATCTGTGTGTCTCTGTGTGTCTGCAGTATAAGGGACAGGCCAACCTGCATGTGTTTGAGGACTGGTGTGGCTCCTCTATAGCCCAACTCAGAAAGAACCTGCACTACCCTCACTACCCTCATGTAAGTAATACAGAGCGGGCTGACTGACCTCTCACCTGTATAACACATTTTTATATTGATTTTGACTTTTCTACATCCAACTCACAGGTTTATCATTGCTTTGAGAAAAATGATTATTAATTTGTCCCTTTTTAGAAGTGAAGATAGTCAATTGTGCTAGGAATGTCATTTTCGAGCCTGAGGCCTGAAAAACAGGCTCAAGGCTCAACTGGTTAAATGATTTGTTTTGTTGATGGCATATTTTTACAAGTCACACGAATGTAGTTACTTTTACTTCAGCTGTCAGGCTCTTAGTTCTCATTGCATATTATGCATTTAATGATGTGTTAAGTTCAACCCTAGAAATGTGTAGTAACCTTTGGAAAAATCTGCCAGAACAGAGGTGGGCAGATGCTTTTTATTTTATTTCTATCAATTCTGAAATGTCCCCGTCGCAAGCAGATTTTATTTTCTTGTTTCCAGATTCTTAATTATTTAAGCTAATGTTAGCTCCACAAGTTAGTTACAATTGACTGGGACAATATAACACTTTATAATAACTCTGATTTAAATAGTTGTGATTCCTAAAATGACCCTAATAATATCAACATATAATCTTTACATTTTGTCAAGAAACTAATATTTTTAATGGCATCACTGTAAGGACACACGTCATTTCTATTGAAAAAACAATTATAAATCTTAAATATCATTTTTCATGTGAGGATCTGTGCATAGATCTACACTAATATGTGTGTCCATCCCTTAAAATGTAAATGTAGGTTTACCACAATGACAATTATCATGTTCCACATAAAATACAAAATTGTCCCATCCCTATTTGAAAAGCCCTAATATGGTCAGTTATGTTCACACTTAAAGTTGAAGCTGTTTTCTTTCTGTATTAATGCTGCTGCCTCTATGATCTGAATTGTTATCTGTTTCACTGTAGACCCGCACCACGCTGAAGAAACTGGCTGTCGCTCCAAAGTGGAAGAACTATGGCCTGAGAATATTTGGCTTCCTTCACCCTTACAGAGATGGTAACTAACTCATCTTATTAGTGAGCCCCTCCTCAGAGGCTCGGGGCCTTGGAGCATGTGTCCTTTACAAGAGTGGAAAATTCCTTTTGCCCTCTTAATCCAAGCTCCTGAGAGCCACTAATATAGTGGATATTCACATTTGTATCAGGACTGAATTCCAGCCATCTCCCAGCTAAATCTCATTGCAGGACCCCTGAAGACCTACCCTTGTGCCCAGTTTCTATGGGAACTGAAAAGTCTTTACACCCAAGGGCTCTTACACACATTGCAGAATTTGGAGTTATTAATTAGTTCTCCGTTCATTTCAGTTTTCTGTGTAGCTTTCGCTGCTGTCATGGCTCTCCACAGATGATGACTCAAAGGTCATCTTGAGGATTCTGACAAGCACTCTAACAAGTGCCCTTCACCTCACACTGACACACACAACCTGCTACATGCTATTGTAGATTGATTGGGTGTTACATTGACCTGAGTTTGTAGCATAGAAATGCCTGGAGGTTTTCCAGATTACAGACGATAAAAACTGTCACAGTCATGACCTGCACTATATCCTGCGGCTGTTAATGTACCCTTGACAATCTATGGCTTTTTATTATTCTCATTTAGACAGATACAAGTATATTTCATATGTAATGCAATGCATACATCACCACGTAGCTTTTGCATGTAGCTTAACGGTGTCTCTTTGGAGTATTCCCACTCACTGTAATAGAATATTGTCTTGTGTTTACAAATATATCTACTTTGCATTACTGTTTGCCAAACCCAACACAACCTGATTTTGTCATCAGGTCCTTTAGAGAGTATGACACACTGCAAAACCACACTGGCATTCACTGTTTGTTACTTTTAAATGGAAACAGCTTGAGGTGAGCATCTGCTGAGAGGAACGTAGCTTCATGCAGCTCCTTATATTAATAGTTTAACCAGAGAAAAACAACAACAACTTCTTCATCCACTTGTATTCTTAAAGGCAGAATAAGCAGGATTTGTTGGTTGCTGTTTGTATTCAAAACATTCCAAGTTGCTATCCTTTCGAGTCGATCCATAGATTTTTAGGAATATCCTACTTTTACCTAGTTTTCAATTTCAGCAACTAAGACAAACATATTCACACTTTTGCCTACTGTTTTTTCCATTTTTTTCCAGCTGAATCCACATAGTTTATTCAAAGGAAGAAAATGTAAAAGAAGAAAAAGACATTGTATATGAATGTGTGTTGGAGAGGGTTTATGATTCAGAAGGGAATGTTGGAATGCGTCACTGTATTAGAATAGTAATAATTAAGCTTTTTAAAGACAATCTTCACCAACTAACGGCTAACTCTAGTGTAGATCTATGCAAACATCTTCATTTATATTCACACCGTTGGTAAATATGGATTAGAAATTCAGTCACTGTAAAACTTTGATATCACTGCGACTAAATGTGTCATCTCGGACGGCTGCCTCGGGCAGTTCGGGCATCAGATTTTAGGTGCATTTTTCCAGCTAAGAATCCATTTTACCGAGCCATGCCCTATCTGATTACCCTGGTTCTACTTATCTGGGATCATAAATATGTACTTCTACCGGCGCACACTTTGATCATGTTTTTCCCCTCCAGGTGATTTCCAGTTCTCGGTGTCGTCTGATGATAACTCTGAGTTCTGGCTGAGTCCTGATGAGAGCCCTCTCAGCGCCCGGCTGCTGGTCTATGTAGGACAGGTAAACACCGAGCTGTGCTGCATCCCTGCATCATATCTGAACCACAGAGAGTCACTCCAATAAGTACAAATTAGGTCCCGGCATTTGTATGCTTTGTTATTGTCAGCAAGTACCGATTTTCCAGTTGGCTTTAACTAATATTGCTTAGCATCAAGCTTTTACTGCTTGACGAATCTGAATCACCTGAAGCATAAATAGTTTCAAACTCCTAAATGTCATGACTTAAATAGAAAAAGCCACTTAGTATACCTTTGGGAAAGAACGCGTGCAGCACAACATGTGCAGAGAAGCTAAACCTTTATTATTACTTTATGTAGTGACTTTATTATCTAATATGATGTTCAGACTGAGGGTGACTCATAGCTCTCATTAGCATCTGATGGATTCCTTTCTAAGACAGTCATGCACACAATGACAAAGTGCATATTTGAAAGGCTTCTTTCATTCTTTTGTTATTTATTATCATTAATGATACTATTAGTGTCAAAAGCTATAAGACTAGTATCGCTATGATATCCCTCCTGAGACAGTTGCTGTTTGTAGGGCTGTGAGTCTGACCAGTCAACAACATAAGCCTTTTTTTACTGACCGTGTCTAACCTTACAGCAACACGGAGCTATTTGACCTTGTGCGTCTTTAGTATTCACCCGCTCACCTCGTGTCACCACCCTTACACTCAGGCCATCACTCACCCCGACACACAGCTCAGAATACATATGGCTTAAATCCTGCTGTTGAACACCCTGTGAAAAATCGTTTCCTTTTTCATCTACCCTTCATGCACCCTCTACCCGCAATCGAATGAAAGTCAAGCTGCGCTCTTACTGCCTCCGCCAATAAAGTTTTCTTGCATAACGATTTTTCAATTTAAAAATAGGCATGGATGCATGAGGTTGGACAGCGTTTGAACTGCAACATATGACTGCTCTTGTCAAATATGAGTTAAGAGCAAAGGTCTGGCTATAGAGCTGTACAGTATCTGTATTCAAACCGGATGTGAGATGTCACTACATTTCCAGGACAGCTGAGATGAATTAGCTGGCTGCGAATATTGATGTGACATTTAGCAGTGGAGGAAAATCATACTGGTAATGGCAGGGGAGCAGTACTGTGGCCAGGGATCACTCATCCTGCCAGCGGCTGACAGACAGGCCTCGCTGCCCCC